TTGAAATCACTAAAAAACCGTACATGAAAAACATGACAATAAGAGATATAATTATCTAGCTAAAACATATAGAATACGATTAGCGAAGTTAAAGAAGGGTATGGCAAACTTTATCCATCCAAAAACAAAAATGCATTTCCGTTCAAATCACATGATATTGCTAAATGTTCATACAGAAGAAAATCAGACAGTGCATAATATGGTTCACCAGATAAAAAAATCACGTCGCGGTTAAACCAAAATAAACCCAATTCCCAACCCGATTGCCTGGTAAATGGTAGAGTTAACCAGCCATAAAAACATTTAACCATCTAAACCCTCACCATGTTTTCATGTATAATAGGAGCTTGTACACAAAGTACCATGTTATAGTATGACCTCACTTTGATCTAGTTCTTCTTTAAGTCTTTCAGAAAGCGACCACACGGCAAAACAATGACAAGCGCGAACTCCTGAATAGAAAATCGTATAAATTTTGTAGAGAAATCAAGTAGCCATATCTCGTGTTTAATCATAACTTTGAGTTGTATCGAAATGATGAATCTAAGAAATCTACAGAAAAACGATTTCTGATGAAGCAGAGACTACCTTAAAATCTCTGGCTCATCTTCTTCAACGCGTTTACAACTCTTTCTCTCTCCCCAATTAGTTCTTCTCTGGCTGCAAAAATCTATTCCGGTAATTTCTGGGTTTCCATCACCATGAAATTACATGGGTTAGTGCACAATCGCGAAGAAAAAGAGACATTTCAAAAGACGGATTTAATTACTAGAAGAACGAGATATATTAAGGAATCGATTTAGATCTGAGATAGAAACATAAACAAACATACAAAAGGAATAGGTGAAGAGTAAAAAGAACCTACAAATCTTCGAGAAGACACTTTTTCAAGCAAAATCAGAACTACAAATGAGTTCCGGACCACCGTGGCGATCGCCGCCGACTATAGAGTTCTCGAGAGAGAGATATTTTAGAGAAAAGTGAGATGAAAGAGAATTTTATTTTTCATAAGTAATATAAAATTAAACAAAATATATTTATATGAAATAGTCAATCTGTCTTTTACTCAACACGCTATCACATTTAAAATTCAAATACAAGGGATATTCTCGGTTTACGAAAATACATACAGTGCTCCAAATAGGGGTGGGATGATTCCAGATATCATGGAATTTCAAGCTATCTGGATCCGGATCTGGAATCGTCGGATCCGTGGAAAAACTATCCGGATCCGGATTCGTGACCTCCGGATATCCGGGCTCTAGATATCCGTCCAAAAATCAGGATATTCGCGGATATCCGGATCCGGATCCGA